CAATCACAACCTCTCTGTATCCACAATATTTTTGGACCTGTTCTTCTTTTTCTACAGCACTTGGTCCTCCTGGATAGTGTTGTATAATTTTCCTGCTTATTGTATTTGTTGTTTATTATTTGTCTCAGTCCAATAGGATGTGAGTTGTGCTACGGAAGGATTTTTTTTTTTTTTTGGAAAGGTGGATATACAGAGAGGAGAGACAGAGAGGAAGATCTTCCGTCCGATGATTCACTCCCCAAGTGACCACAATGGTCAATGCTATGCCGGTCCGAAACCAGGATCCAGGAACTTCTTCCAGGTATTCCACATGGGTGCAGGGTCCCAAGGCTTCGGGCCGTCCTCGACTGCTTTCCCAGGCCATATGCAGGGAGCTGGCCTGGGAAAGTGGGGCTGCCGGGATTAGAACCGGTGCCCATATGGGATCCCGGGCGTGCAAGGCAAGGACCTTAACCACTGCGCCATCGTGCCGGGCCCAGGATTTTTTTTTTTTTTGTCTACTTGGTTTCTTGAAACTGCCCCAAGAACTTAGACCAGAGCTTGGGCAAGCAGAAGCAGATCAATAAGTATCTGTCAGATGAATGAACAAATGAATTCTTCCTCTTCAGTATTCCTCTTTAATAAAATTAGGCACTTTCCCGCAGATCCAAAGTAGCCTTGTAAAGACTGAATGCATGTTTTGATCCTTTGGCATACTTTTCGGTCTCAGTTTTATTTGAATTAGGTTCATGGCTCTGCACAATTTCCTGAAAATGATCCAGCAACATTCTCTGTAATGACCTATCCCATGCTCAAAGAAATCAGCAATCTTTTCTGTGCCCCAAACAAGCAGTCAGTTCCACCCAGAATCCCTGCAATAGGCCTGTGTTTCATTTTAATTTCTCTTAGTCTAAGGCCTTTGTTAATGACGTAGATGACTTCCTGTATGACAAATCACAACGCACATTGTGTCTGCGTACGGAGTATAATGTGATATATTGGTATATGCAGACATTGCAACTTAGTTAAACAATGGTCATTAATACATACATTACCTTAGAAACTCTGTGATCAGGATACATAAAATACATTCATTTAGCAATTTTCAAATATACAATATGTTGTATTAACTATGGCTCAATGGATCTCTCAAACTTATACTTGAACTTTTTCCCCTTGATCATTCTCTCCCAAACCTCCTCCCCAGCCTCTAGTTTGATAAGGACAGTTCTACTCTCTGATTTTATGAATTTGACTTTAAGATTCTATGAAAGATAAGGTTATGTGAGAAGTGTATTTCCAAGGCTGCCCTATTTCACTTAACAAAATGTGCTCCAGGTTTATCCATGTTGTGGCAGATTTCCTTTTTCTAGAGTTGAATATCATTTCATCGTGAATAGGTATCACAGTTTCGTTGTCCATTATTTGTTCATGAGCAGTTAGGTTTTTTCCTTGTCTTGGCAATTGTGAATAATGCTACAATGAACATGGAAGTTCAGATGGCTTTTCAATATTCTGATCTCTTTCCTTTGGCTATATATACAGTTTAGAGATAGCTGGATCATAAGGTCATTCTATTTTTAATTTTTTGATGAACTTCCATATTGTTTTCCATATTATCTATACTACCTTACACTCTAACCTTCTTCTCTATATCACTATCAACGCTCTTATCTTTTGCCTTTTGATAATAATTGTTTGAACAGGATATGAGGTGATAACTCATTACTATAATCATGCATTTCCTGGTGACTGGTGATGTTCAGCATGTTTCCATGTATCTTTCAGCCATTTGCACATGATCTCTCGAGAAATATCTACTTGGGTCTTCCATCCAATTTTTAATTGAATTGTTTTCTTACTGTTAAGTCATGTTATTTACAGATTTTCAGTGCTAATAAGTTACTGTATTATATAGTTAGATAATATATAACATGTATATAATATATATTATTATAGTTTGCAAATATTTCCTCTCATTCCAGAACTTGCTTCTTTACTCCACTGATTCATGTTGATTGTTTCATTTTCTGTGCAAAGCTTATTTAGCTTGAGGTAATAACATCTATTCTTCCATCACTTGCCTATGCTTTTGGAGTCACATCCAAAAATACATGGGGCTTTTTCCCTGTTTTCTTTTCAGATCTCATATTTAAGCTTTTAATCCATTTTGAGTTAATTTTTTAAAGATTTATTTTATTGTTATTGCAAAGTCAGATATACAGAGAGGAGGAGAGACAGAGAGGAAGATCTTCCATCTGATGATTCACCCCTCAAATGACCACAATGGCCAGTGCTGCACCCATCCCAAGGCAAGAGCCAGGAACTTCCTCCCAGGTCTCTTATAGGGGTGCGAAGTCCCCAGGCTTTGTGCCATCCTCAACTGCTTTCCCAGGCCACAAGCAAGGAACTGGATGGGAAGAGGGGCTGCTGACCCATTTCTTTGAGATTCCCCTGCTGTTTAGATTTCTTAAGCGACAAACATAGCATCTTGTGGGATAAGAACTTCTTCCCCCAACCTGATTCTAGTATTTCTTATTTCCTCTGTTAACTAATGTAAAATGTGCATATTGGAGGCATAATATATTGAGAATTTTACAAAGTAATTATATATGAGGTTGGCAACATATTCTGGACAAAAAAAGGAAATGCTATAGTAATTACTTATTGGTTCCATATTGTACATTATTTTGTTTCAAAAGTCTTTTTGTTTGTATGTTAAGCTACCAAGAATGTAATGGTATCCCTTCTCCTATCCACATTAAAGACACTTACTCCAAAAGATGTTTTATCTAAAATTATGTCTTTATATTCATGTTCAGTCTAGATCCTTTTCTGTTACAGAACTATCAAATTCTAATAAAGAACTCGGGCTGTTTTAGACAGTTACCTATCAACTTCTAACTGCTACATTCTCTTTGGGTTTTGCCTGGCTGTACTCAAGACTCTTGCCTCTTCTTCTTTGACCCTAAATGCAATGGGGCTGAAGTACAATGATCAATCCCTGAAAGCTCCTCATTTAGAAAAGGCTATAGCTTTGTTAGCCTTTGTGCTTCCCATAGGTTCAAGTTCGGGTTACGACTTCCATCTCCATTGGCCCCCAAACATTTCCAGAAACTCCCCTCTGCTGGAGTATCTGCTGTGCAACCCTTCTAGAAATAGTTATTTAAACAAGTATATCAAAGTCACAGGAATTTAGTCACCATTTCTAAGATTCAAGATAAGGTATGGAACAGCCATTTATGAAATAAATATGACAAAAGTTAGTTAGTGATCAATGATTACAAAGAACAGTAAGGAACAAAGGGCTGATACTGAAGGGAGAGGGGTGAAGAAATAGACTTTCCTGGCAAATGAAGCATGCAAGTAGGGAGAATGTTTAAGTGTTTATGGAACTGCCCACCTACAGAAGGGGGAGATTCAAAGAAACAGAAATCATTCCAGATTTTGTGTGTTCTGAGATCAATAAGAATATGGCATATACAGCAAAATATTTGGTAAAATGTTTATAATTTTTCCAGGCATTTCTATGTCCTTTATGCTTTAGAATCTTCTGGCAGAGCCCTGGTTATAATTTTATACTGATGAAGTACAACACAGGATTTGTTGTTAGGAAGAAAGGACAGGTGGAAATGGATGAGTTGTTGGGTGGGGAGATTCCTTTGTTTTCACTTCCTTTTCTTCACAGAATCTACAGGAGATGCATGAGTCACCATCTCACTGAGGGAGAAGCAGCTCTCAATCTTCATTGGGCACATGGCAGCAATCTCTCTCTAGTTAGATCTAAATGGCTGGATTGCAAGGTGAACTGTTGGTGACTAACTCATTTTCCCTCACCTCCAGCACCCTTTTCTCCCAAGATCAAGCAATTTTCTTGTGTAATGAACTGTATCTGCTATCAAGTGGCCTGGAAATTAACAGGTCCAAAGCATCTTCAAAGTCCCTGCTTCTCATTTGGTATCATGATGTCTTTTGTTGCTATACCACTCATCTGTGTTTTTCAAGGCTGTGGAAAGGAATGATGCAAAAACGAATGGAACCAAAGAACAATTTGATATATAGGGGATAGGCTTCAATTGATTTTGAATGATTGGAGGAATAGTTTTCTAGCTAGCGGGTTGTCAAATTCTCTGCATCAAACATTTTTGTCTGGTTGACTGCCTTTGGGTCAGTTCTGTCCTGACTGGCACTGGAATGAAAACAACATTGACATGCCATTTCAGAGAAACAAAGGTTTGCTTTGCAATCAACAGCAGCCTTCAAATGTGGGATATGGTGGTTTGATTCACGCCTGTGACATAACCGAAGTCAGGAGCAAGTTTTTAAGACAGATCAAAATCTAAATCAACTACGAGTGAGGGGGAAAATATATAACAGAATCTAAGCTTTACATTTTCTTCATTTGTTATGTCCACACAGGAACAGGAACTAAAATAAAACAGGAATAAATTATAATAATTATTATTTGGTAAGCTCGGATACAGTGTTTCACATTGTTTTGTTTTGGCAGATAGAAGCTGAGCAATTTTATCTATTAACGACTTCTCTTTGTAAAGCTTGTGGTAAACAATTGATGTTTTATAGTTCTTTTTCTACATTTAATAAAAATGTTACCATTTAGTTAGCTAATGAAATTATCAGCCAGAAAACCATCCACATTTTGATGACATTATCTTAAAGTAATATAGACATGTATTGGTGATCTTAGTGATCAAACGCATAAAATCAAATGAGTAGATTGAGGAAATAAATTGAGCAACTATAGAATTTGGACTTAACAATACTAGTTAATTCAATATACATCAACAGCAAGATCCCACATTAACAAAGTTAAAACAATATATATTGTTAGCAAACAGATAGAATTGTTGATTCGAAATATGTGTGCTTTACACATGGTTTTAGCTAATAACAATTTTAGCTATAATGGTTGCTGATGGTAACCGATGATAAAATATATCACCTAAACCTATACAACAACAATACAAACCAATACCAACCTAGAGATAAAAGGATTTGGCTTCTTGTCGGCATGTTTTGTGATCTGTAGGAACATCTTATGAAGTAACCTAGAAAGAAAAATGTGATTAAATTAAATTGCATCTGACAGTTAATAGAAAATGCTGGCCGAAGTCTAGGCAGATAATTTCAGTGACAAAATCCATCACAAACCAGAGCCAGACTTTGCAAAAAATCACAAGTGAACATTTGTCTAATTGTATTGGGAACATCAAACTGTTTGACCAGGTCTCTCCTTCCACAACAAGAACAATCCCTGATTGAATCCTGCAGAGGGGTTCTTACAGTTGTGTGTTCTCAATCAGCCATGTAAATGTTTTCCTGTATACTTACAGTTTGTAAAACACTGAGGAATTTGTGTGTCCCCGTCACTGTAAATAGGTTTTGAAACATCTGTAATAGTGCTGAGGCAAACTGCCAGTCACCTCTGATGACATCACACACTGGAGCAATCCTTTGCGAAAGTAACATGACTACATATCTAAAAAGACACATCAAAGCTCTTTCCCACGCACTGAAGTAATTCCACTTGGAGAATATTTCCCTAAGAAATGATTTTTTGAAAACCAAACAAAATACATCATAACACTGAACATTCTTTATAAAATGACAAGAAAAATGTAAGAAATTAAAAATATATGTTCAACAATATAAAACTGATTTATTAAATTCGTAGACTATCAATTTAAGGACCATTAAAAGAACAAAAGTATAGGCTTGTATAGGAATCTATAGGAAATATATACATTCACATATGTATACATATAAGAAACATAGGAATGTATAGGATGTATATATAGTAAATGAACAAATGCATAGGATTATAAAGGAATGTATAAAAATGTGTGAGAGCAACAAAATACTACATCATATGTAGTTCTCATTTGTATATGGCAAAAACTAGATGCTATTGTAACTGAGAACTTACACTTATGGGGGAAAACATTGACTATTACGATCTTAACTGAATAGTACAATTGGGGGTTAAGATTGTAGATGAGACTGATAATTTATTATGGATGAATGCATTTTGTTCTATAACGTTATGGTGAGTACATTTTGAAGGATCCCCCTATGTCTTCTGAGTTCATCCCACTTTCATGTGCAGCTGTATTCCCTGGCAGAAGGTAAAACAGATGCACATGGATGCAGAGACAAAACAGACAGAAACACTGTCCAAATATCAAAGGTATTCCTCATTCTTCACTTGTGAGAATGGGCTCTACTCCTACTCTGTAGTTCTATGAAAAACAAACAACAATAGCAACAAACTAACCTATCTTTACTATAAATTGCCGTATTCATACTTGGATCAGTTTGAACAGGTCACAAAAATTATGACAAATTTTGTGTTTCCTTCACAATCTTTTATTTTATTTCGAATTTTATGGTATAATTATGTATGGTCTGGGACACCCCGCTCAAGTATCCCCCTCCCCGATTTTCCCCATATTATTGCAGTTGTGTAGGGCTTTATAGCATCAGTCTGTTATTTAAGGGTGCCCCGACATTGCTGGTACAGACAATGTCAGACGGTCCAGCATCCCATTACCTAGACATGTGCAACAGTTTCATTGGGGGTCCAACTTAGATTTGGAAATAGAGATGCAAATTGCAGTGTATCTTCACATCTGGATGTGGTAGTCTCTATTACGCCATCACTATACATTCCCTTAGGTGAGAAGCCACAAGATAAGGTCAACAACAGACATGAAGTTAAAGCAAAGACAAAATGAAAAAAGAAAAAAATACATCTCCATAGAATTGAAAAAATGCACCAATGAATATCAAACATATGGATGACAAAAACACAAAAGCCTAATTTGCATGATGGTTTCCTTAAATTAAAGAGAGCATATGATATTTGTCTTTTGGGGATTGACTTATTTCACTGGGCATAATGGTCTCTAGTTGGGACTATCTAGTTGTAAATGGTATGATTTCATTCTTTTTAATGGCTGAGTAATATTCCATGGAATAGAGGTAACAGAGTTTCTTTAACCACTCATTTTTCGATGGGCATCTGGGTTGTTTCCATATCTTTGCTCTTGTAGATTATGCTGCTATAAATATAGCATTACAAATTCTTTTCTCATATGCAGCTTTTATTTCCTTTGGGTATATTCCTAGGAGTGGGATTGCTGGGTCATATGGCAGATTTATTTGCAATTCTCCAAGTACTTTCCATACTGAGCTCTGTAGTGGTTGTATTAGCCTACACTCCCACCAGCGATGAAGGAGGTTACCTTTCTCTCCACACCTTTTTTTTAAAAAAGATTTATTTTGGGCCCGGCGCGGTGGCGCAGTGGTTAAGGTCCTCGAGGGCCTTGCACACCCGGGATCCCATATGGGTGCTGGTTCTATCCCTGGTGGCCCCACTTCCCTTCCAGCTCCCTGCCTGTGGCCCGGGAAAGCAGTCGAGGACGGCCCAAAGCTTTGGGACCCTGCACCCGCGTGGGAGACCCGGAAGAGGCTCCTGGCTTCGGATCGGCATAGTATCGGCCGTTGCGCTCACTTGGGGAGTGAATCATCGGATGGAAGATCTTCCTCTCTGTCTCTCCTCTCTGTATATCTGCCTTTCCAATAAAAAAAAAAAAAAACTTCAAAAAAAATGTATTTTTTATTTGAAAGTCAGAGTTATAAAGAGAAAGATACCCAGAGAGATCTTCCATACACTGGTTCAGTCCCCTAATGGCCACAACAGCAAGAGTTGAGCCCTGAAGCCAGGATCTAAAAGCCAGGAGCTTCTTCTGGGTCACCACGTGGGTGCAGGAGCCCAAAAGCTTCAGCCACCCTCCAGTGCTTTTCCAAGCCATAAGCAGGCAGCTAGATTGGAAGTGAAACAGTCAAGACTCAAGCCAGTGCCCATATGGGATGCTGGTGCTGCAGGCAGAAGCCTGGCCTACTATGCCCCGGTGCCAACCCCATTCTTTCATAATCTTTAACTTGCAATTTAATAAAGATTCTGCACAGAAGTAGAAAGTTCCACATGCCCTCTAATTGCACTTAAAATACTGATACTTATCCCATGGTAAGAAATATACTTATTGTGGACGCAGTTAATCAAGCAATACAACTGATAGCAGCCAGTAGTATTTTCATACAATACAATATTCTGACTCTGGCTAAACAAACAAAAATATTAATACTGCCACTTTGTTTTTACCCTTTCCTTAGAATCATTTCACATATTCCTGAAATAACATTTTCAGGGGATGAGAATTAATCTTTTATCTTTGTAGCCTTGAAAAGAAAAGTACTGTGTACAAAATTTAGTGGACCCTTAATACTGGACTCAACTCTTTTGCTTCAGGAGTTTCTTTTGCTGTATTTACCTTTCACGTATGGTTGACAATAGGCTGGCTACCAAGTACAACACTTCCCTGCTCTTCCGCTAGCTCTTGGCAAAGCCTCCCTGCTGGGATTATTCACCAATGGCAGGAACTTTGCCTATTTTGCATAATGGTTGCATATGCTTCCCAATAGATATGCAATCACTTTCTCTACCAAACATGCAAACAGTACAAGCTCAGGCCAGGGTGGGGAGATGCAGATATAAAAACAATATATATTGAAAGTGATAAATGCTTCAGCGGTGGTGTACCAAGGGCTCTGAAGTATGTGATGGAATTACTAGGTAGTTAGGGCTGGTTGTCAAATTCCTAGGAATTCTGATAAAGCTGTACAAGTGTTGAGACTATCTGAAATGCAGTTAAAGAAAACTAAGCTGCTTAGAAATGTGTAGGGAAACAACAAGCTGAATGGAGAGGATGTTATTGTGTGTGATGTTGTACAATAAAAAACATAATAGTGAAAGAGTATTAAGGGATACACTGAGGACTCCTTGTTTATATGCATTCTTGAACCATACAATTTTCATAGTCTGGTACATAATTGGACAACATTAAGAGCTGGAAAGACAACAAAAACATGTAACTTGGAACAATTGCATTAATGTTGTAAATAAGGAAAATATTAATTACATCTTATATTTACGTGCTTGCTCCAGAAATGCCTACAACAGCCTGGGCTGGGCTGGTGCCAAAGCAAGGCACACAATCCAGGTATCACAAATGGCTGGAAGGACATAGCACCTGAGCCATCTCCACTGCATCCTAGTTTAGTGCTTGCATTGGTAGAAAATTGGAGTCAGGGGCCAGACCCAGTAACTAAATCCAGGAACTTTGGATTTGTAATTCAGGATAACTGCCTGCTCCCTGGCTTGGCAGTGACTTTTGAAATTTATTTTTAGGATTTAAGCAATATAGAATGCATTTGGTTCACAGAAAGACAGCTTTTTGTCCACTTCTCCATTCTCTGAATGCCCCCAATAGCCAATTGGTAGTGGGCTGGCCTGAAATCATAGGCCAGAAACTCAGTCCTGGTCTCCCACCAGAAAGGCAGACACTAAGTTGCTTCTCAGAGCCTGAATTTCCAGGCAGCTGGAATCAAGATACACTCCAATGTAAGACATAGGCACCCTCACAGGTGCCCTAACCAGTAGCCCAAACACCTACCACTGTATCGCTTAATTTTTAAAAGGACTATGCTACTACTTTTTAAATAAAATTTGAAAATGTTAATCATTTTTTTTAAATGTTACTTTATTTGAAAGGCAGATTATAGAGAGAGAATGAGATCTTTCATCTGCTAGTTCACCTTCCAAATGGTCAGGATAGCCAGGCAAAAGCCAGGAGCTTAATCCAGGTCTCTCAAGTGGGTGGAAGGGACCCAAATGCTTGGACCATCCCAAAGAGGAATCTGGATGGGAAGTGGGACAGCTGGGGTATGATCTGGCACCCATGTGGAATACTGGCAGTGTAGGCACTGGCTTTACTCGCTATGCCATGACGCTAGTCCCAGGAAATGTTATTCTCTACAACAGCTTCATTGAGTTAGTCTCATCTTGTATTTCCTTTGTTTTCCATTACTGAATGATTCTTTTTTTCTTGATCATTCCAGAAAAAAAAAAAAAGCTTAACTCCAATGCTTACTGTTTTGTTCACTTTCTCCTTTCCCTCAAGAGAAAGAAAAGTTAAATTGTGTAACT